GAATGTAGGATATTCGTTTGAAATCATCATAGAGTTTGTGAATTTGCATCGTGTTTGATTAGGGACATGAACAAAGAAGTAAATAATCAAACATTTATAGTCTTTGATGGGTTCTTAGATTTGTCTTAACTGTTTGATACAGAACAAATGCAGAATCTGAGATTAATGGATTCTCTTGTAATGCTTATCTACTAATGGATCTATCTTTGATTGGACATGTTTGATTTGGGATATGAAGATGAAGTAAATAATCGAGATTTCATGTACTCTTTTGATGGGTTCTTGCATTTGTGTTCTCTTGTAATGTTTTCTCTACTAATGGATTTATCTTTTTGGTAAAAACAGAAGCTATCGAACTATGCGACGGGGAAGTTTCTGAAAGTATACACAGGACATACAAACAAAGTATTCTGTATCACATCGGCGTTTTCTGTAACGAACGGGAAGTACATTGTGAGCGGATCAGAAGACAATTGTGTGTATCTATGGGATCTTCAGCATAAAACTATACTGCAGAGACTAGAAGGCCATACAGATGCAGTGATCTCGGTGAGTTGCCATCCGGTTCAGAACGAGATAGCTTCGTCGGGAAATCATTTAGATAAAACTATCAGGATTTGGAAACAAGATGCTTGAGAAATCGCTTTGAACATGAATGCAATTGTATATAAATCTATGGAAACAGGAATGATTTAAGATATTTCTAATGCAAATTTATTAATAAAATTCGTCTATCGCCCAAAACAACCTTAAATTTGACATATGATATATCTTCTTTCAGATTATCCAGAGGAAACCTACAACACAAAATTCAAACCTAATGTCTGTGGTTTATACTTAAAACTCTTTTAACAAAAGACAGTCGCGCAATACTAGAGTCTTGAGTGGACTGTCGCTCCAGCTATTTTCCAAATCCCTAAACCATCAAAACATTCGCTATAAAAGATTTGTTTCGGCAAAATTTAACCAGGTTCGCAAATACACAGAACTACGGAATGATAGAGAGAAGTATCGTTTTATTAATCAACGAAGTAGGCTTGTAGCCGAATGATATTACAACGTCTAGATGTCTAAAGCGTTATAAAGGACTTCGTTAGATGTGGAAAACAAGGCTAGGTCTCTGGTTGCGATCGCTGGGATGCTGTGAAGACGTAGCTCTTAGGTTTTCTCTGTGTGTTTTTCGATGCTGCCTTCTCTCTTAGATGTCTCTATTTATAAGACTTGATCAAAATCCTCTTAGGATTAGGATTCTACTTGACGTGCAAGCTTATCTCCTTAGTAATCGGGATTCATGATATATTTGAATTACATTATGAGGTGTAGATAATGACAAACCTAATATTGCGAAATCTCTGCAAGTATATCTTAAAAGTCATGTATTAGTTTATATCAAATAAGGTAATCTAACCTTGTAACGACGTCATAACGACGTTACCACCTTGATGACGACGTAGCAACGATGCCTTACTAGACACCGACAAGTTATTTCTT